GTGTAAAATTGTTATTTTCCTCTATCAAGTCAACTAGATGGGAAAATCTAACTTTCGAGTATCTAGAGATCTGAAGCTAAAAATTTTAGTTGATAGTTACAAATGCAATTATTTCTTGAAACCCCAAAACATATGTAGACTTTATCAAATATATCATAAATTAATGATCCCTAATAAAAAAGTGAAATATACATTCTTTAGGAAAAATTTTTTAAAGTATCCAGTATTTGTTGGTTGACATTTCTATAACTAGAAACCAAACCTATTGTACTAAATGACATACTTATGATTTGCCAAAGAGAAATGTTACTTATGATATATTTTTGGCTTTTGAATCACCATTATAGCCAATATTTCTAGTATATTAATAACTTTGTAGTCAATAATTTCTTTCCAATATCACTAAATTTTCCCTTTTATTATTTAAAGATTAAAGAGGAATTTAATCTAAATGCTATCATATGATTGCCAACTTCTTAAGAGATGTTGAATATGCTGTATATTCGAATTAGATTATAATTGTTAAGCCAGGAAACAATTATTAATGTGCAAGAAATAACTTAACGCTCTATAAACTTTTAAAGTCTATGAAATATTATATAAAAATTTCGAAAGCTTTTCAAACCACGGATATTACCAATAGAAAATACTTAAAGATTCATGCAAGAATTTTTACTAGATGTTTTGGAGGTTAGGCATTAAAATATGTTAAAATGGTAATGGAAATATTATTGTATTTTATGATCTTAAATATTATGATAAAACACAAGGTATGATTAAGAATTTTTGAAAAAAAAATTAAAAGAAGGTTAGCAGAATTATGATAAACTGTCACTTCAGAAAGTTCTAGTGCTCTGAAAATGACATGAGCAATACCAAATTTGTATCTGAACTATGAGAATTTGATCAATCAAGATAGTTCTATGTAGAATTAGTCACTCAATACTGAATTAATTAAAATGGAAAATAATTCATAATGGAATTGAATATCTAAAAAATTTTTTTTGTTAATTACTGATAGAATCATAAAGAAATTTTGTTTTAAAATATTGATTTTGGAGTTAATTTTTGAATCATTTCTGAGGGCGATCTTTTATTGATTGGATTCCCTAATCTATTAATTTGTAATCAATGATAAATCATCTTATTAAGTAAGAGAAGAAAAAAATAAAATTAAAATGATTGCTATTCAAGATATAAATATCATCTCAAAACTTTAAAAGAAATTGCAATTATTTACATCAGTTTTGAGAAGTGAATTTTAACAATCTTCTAATAAGAACAAGAGATCCTTTTGAAAAGGGTCTTAAGTGTACTTTTGTTAAGGCAGAATGCCAAATAGATATATATTACATTAATGTAGAATCACTTTAGAATATAATAAATATGATAGTAATATCTAAAGAGTTGAATATAAAAAATATATCTATATTAAAGTAAGTATTTGGATTGTTCATAGATTGTAATGAAATGAATTGAAGAGATTCACACCAAAAATATAATTCCTAATTTATTTATTTTTGCCAATGTAATATTCCTTAGGAATCCAAACGAGTTCCATAGATATTGCATTAATAATTATATGATTCAAAATAGTAGGATATTCAAATTTATTATCAAAAATATTCGGATCCCACTAATTTGGAAGTTATTCTTGAAGATATTTTATTTAATTGCAAATAATCATTGATTTTCTTAAGAAAGGAAATCCTTATGTTGAATATATTGGTGATGCTAATTGTTTATCTAAGCTAAACCACTTGTTTATAGAGGTAGTATACTAATTAATGCTTAATTGAATCATTAGTTCCCTATTTAAAACTAAAACAGAGGTATATGAAATATAAGCGTACATATTTATTTTTTTACATATCTTTATGCTTTTTGAACAGCTCTGCTTCTGAAACTACAGGGAGCGAAACTATTATTATTTCAATTTTTTTTGAATATTCTTTAGAGGAATAACTTCCATTTATAATAAATGACCATCTCATTAGATTTTAGATATCTACTTTAGTAACAATTAAAGAATATAAAAATATGATTCTGTTACTATAATTAAGATTTAAGATTTTAGATTTGATACAAGATTTGGAGTCAACTATAAGAAATTATTTGATATTAGTTAATGTATTTATTAATTAATCATTAATTAGTATAAAAATGAAAAAGAAATCCACCCATCTTAATTTAACCTAATAAACTATCTAATAAATTGATAATTTGAGTTATTAACATAAGTTATATAAATTCATTCATTTATATTCTACTTAATAAATAGCAAAATTTTTACCATAACACTTAGTTTGAATTAATTATCATACATATATATCTAAACTTAAGGAACAAATATTAATTTGTAATTGAAATGTATGCCATCACATCAGATTAGTATTATGATCTTTAAAAATATTCTCTAACAAACCATAAGCCTTTTGAAAGAAATTCTTATTAAGTTCATTCGAATATTTAATCCTAATTTTGCTTTAATTCCAAATTGCAGGCAACTTTACTAAAAATCTAAATAGTTATAATCTTTACTGCTAATTAATATTCTGCCTCCCATTTCCTTTGAGTTCCCTAAGTATTTTGACTATTGATTGTATTTTTTCTGTGTTTCCTTAACTTCTGTTAGTTCATATTGGTAGATGCTTCGACTAATTTTGCATAATTCTAGGCTTAATAGTTACCATTCATATAAATTGTCAAAAGCTGGTTTTGAATTTAATTTAAGTATTATTTCTAATTTTTAATAACAAATTATATTATTTCATATTAATTTGAGAATAAATTTATTTAGTTATCACTGTTTTTATCTTTTTAATACCCCTACTTCTTATTATATTAATTTATTCTGATTGAATAAGTAATTATACTATTTGTACTTTGTTTTTGTCAACCTGAATAATTAAAAAAATATTTTTTTATCCATATATTTTTTTAAATAATTGTGTATTTGGTAAAATATATACCGTTTAAGTATAGATGTTTTTATTAGTTGATTCATTGTAAGAGAAACTTTCTAAAATGTTAAAAGTAAAATTTAAAAAGCAAACATTTCAAATAGTTATTTGAAATTAATAAAACAATAAATCATTATTTATAATTGTTTCTCACATGAACAAAAAAATCTCGAAGGTATTAATATATTAATATTAATTTATTTCAATTAGGTAAATATATAAATATATAAATATATATAAGGATAAATGATAATTAAATAAATTCGATTAAAAAAGTAGTTTTAGAATTAGAGTTTAATGAATAAAATAAATCTGCATAATTTAAAATTAGAGTTTAATCATATTGGTTTGTTAATAATTATAATCACCATTTTAATTCGTATATGAATTAATTTTTTAGATAAAAATAAAACATATTATTAATTAAGGGGGTGAATTTTTTCAAAATATAATCAAAAAAAGTAATAGAAAATGCATTAATTATTTATGTCTGCATCTGATGCTACTGTGTTTCTTAACAGAGGTAAATCATCTAGTCATATAATTAGAAAATGTATTTTATAACAAAGGAGAAAATGAAAAAGCACTCCAAGACT